TGACTGAAAGCGAATTGGGTAGAGGCAGAGCCATGGTTGAGGTGGTGCACTATTGTTACTGATTAGTTATCTAATTACAAGAAGGAACTATTGTACATTCTCTTCTGACCTCCACATACGTGACTTGGTGATAACACAAGCATAGACGTAAACACAATAAATAACCAACCGACCTGGCAGATGCTGGTTGTCCATGTTATCCTCGATCCACAACCTGCAGCTCTGCTTGCCAGTACTCTGTACTGAGGCCAGAATTTGGATCAAGTGCAAAGAACAGCCAAGAAGTTCATAATTTGTGCCTTGTATTTTGGCGGGCCCGGATGAAGCTGGGTATTGTCTGTTAAATAGTGCTGTCTTGTAGAATACTCCAAGCCATCCTATGAAGCAAGCACAGGAGAATCACACTCCAAGATCTCAAATGACACAGAATGAAAAGGGTCTTGAAAACTCTTCAAATAAGATCAATCCCAGCTTTAAGTTTTCAAATTAGGATTGTACAATTAGCAAACACAAGCCAATGCCCTCCCCCCTCCAGGAAACTTCACAGGATGACACATTTCTGGTTCTAAACCTTTTGAATGAGAAGAGAAATACTCACTATCTGCTGTTCTCATGCTGTTACATACAGCTTTCTTCTGGAAGAGCACAGAAATACCTGCCTCTCTCACATACATGTATCTACTGAAAAGATCCAGAACTGGATACCGTAGTGATCTCCTCTAATCCTGTCACAGGGCAGGCTGAGGAACATGTATGCATGCATGTATACATGGATGTGGTAAGAGAGGACTCTACATTCTAATATGTCAGAAGCTGGAACAGGAATATTACACTTTCGAGCTCAGCCTACTCTACATAGCAAGTTCTGAGCTGTACATGGTTACTTTGTCTTCAGAGGGGAAAACTAATTTGAAAAAGCAAGAGTTCTGAGACCAAAGCCAACTAAAGCTACTCTCCTTTTGTACTCATTAAATGAGTTGATAAAAGTACTTAGTAGCTGAAACAGAAGTAAACCCCAGACATCATTACACAACATGACTACTAATACTGCCAATGAATTTTAGGACACCTAAGAGCCATATGAGGCCCTTATTTTAAAATAAAAATAAATAAATAAATAAACAAATAAATAAATAACAGAGGGTTGTGGAGATGCCTTTAATCCCAGCACACAGGAGGCAGAGGCAGCCAGATTCTGAGTTTGAGGGCACCTGCTCTACAGAGCTCCAAGTCAGGCAGGGCTGTTAAACAGTGGAAATCCTGTCGGGAAAAACTTTAAAAACCAAACAACAAATAAATTCAACCCCCTCCAAAGGACTCTGAAACCCTCCCTACAGCCATCCCCTCTGCTATTTCAGCTGCATTTCTGCCTCCATAATCCCCACTCTCCCCAGCATCCTCTTCCTGAGAGCTTGCCTCCTATAGTCATTTATCCTGACCAGCAGCCCCACTGTTGCAGCCAGGGGGAGACAACAACTGAAGAGATCACAACAAACAGACCCCACCCACCACTGAAGGGGCCACTTTGCCATGGAGGTAAACCCAAGGCACATGTCTAGCCAGAGGGCGAAGCAGCTCTATGACGTCACGCAAGGCAATAAATCCAGTCTGGTCCAGGTCCATTGATGACCCTGGAGCAAGTGTGTGGGCTGTGCTTACTTTGTTTCTTGGGCACAGAGGATTTTCCAGAGGAAATTTCAACAAGAAAGATCCCTGGTGGCTTAAAGCTGCAGAACACAGCAAAGAAAGGGAAGGAGTGAGTGAGGCTTAAATCAAGTAGACTTCTTGGGATAGCTCGGAAAGCCGGCCGACAATGAAGGGTGAGCTGGAGGACAGACAAGGATTTGAGAAAGGTATGAGTATAGAGGGCCAGGAACTGGAAGCTGAATCAGGATACCTGTCACAACAGAGTCCCAAGACCACTTTCCAGGGAATTGGCTCAGAGTGCATAAAAGCAATCGAGACCCAGAGTGTGAAGCCACCCGACTCAATCTCTAGACTAGAATAGATGTCAGGATAAGTGTGTATTATCCCCAGGGGGAACTAGTGTCGCTCAGGAGAACTAGAAGAGTTGAGTGCAAGTCCTTTAGCTTGTGCTGGCCCCTGCCTACCTGAATAAGTGCTGCCAAGGACCCTGCTCCCTTCCACTGCCTGGCTTTTCATGCTTCCTCTCATAAAAACCTCCGTAGGTGCATGCAGTATCACAAACCTAAGTCGTTGGTATGTGAGCAGAAAAGAGAAGCAAAGTGAACACTGGAGCGGTTTTAGAGAAGACAGAAAACACTTTGAAAATTAAGCCTCTGATCTGGTGATGCACACCCCACTGTGTCATATTATCAGAGATCAAGTGCTTAGGCATGCCTCAAAGTCAATATTATTATGTATATAAAGGAAATACTTGATCTTGTGTCCTATGCCTTTGAACCCAGCACCCTATACCACATAAAATAATGAATGAAAAGGTGGTGGGTGTGTTCACAGGGCATTGGTGGGTCTTACCTTTAATCCCAGCACTTGGGAGGTAGCGGCAGGCTAACCTCAGTTCCAGGCCATCCAGGTCTACAGAGTTAGTGCCAGGACAACCATGGCTATGCATTGAAACCCTGTCTTAAAAAACCCTGTGTGTGTGTGTGTGTGTGTGTGTGTTGTGCTATGTGTAAGGACATATGGATTTGTGAGCATGGGTGTGGGTGTAAAATAAGTTCTGGATGAATCAAGCTGAGTTCTTTTTGACCCAGTTGATTGATGAATATGTTGGAATCCAAAGTCTTAGGGAGGAATTTTTCACCTGTTAAAATTAGCCTTTAGCTTTTCTGTCAGGGGTTGAAGATTTAGCTTAGTGGTGAGAAGGGTTGTGTAGCATGCCCAAGGCCCAGGGACTGATCTCTAAAGCTGAATACAAAATCCTTTAAATGAAAAGAAGTAAGAAGACAGGGGCTGTTGTTCTCTAAGAGCCCTTATGTTGGAACAAAACCATCATTAGACTGGATTGAAAGTTGTGACAACCTCTGCTTCTGACACCTGCAGGACATCGGATGAGTTTTCCAGTTGCTAGCTGATTCTTTTTGTTCATTTATACTTTATTTTTTGTTATTTCATTCCTGCCTATTTGTTTATTTATCTATCTATTTATTTATTATTTGGAGAAAGTGTCTCATTTTGTATTCCATGGACTGTCTCAAGCTGGGAGATAATCCTGCCTCTGCCTACTGAGTGCAGGGTTTAAAGGTGTATAGGACCATGGTAAATCATTAATTTATTATTTATTTAGTGTATTTATTTACTTTCATTTCTTGCAACAAGATTCCCTGTGTAGTCCACTGTGACCTAGAATCACTCTATAGACCTTGCTGGGCTAAAACTCATATAGAGTTTAGACTGCCGGTGAGTGGAGTTAAAGTTGTGTAACACTACTGCCTTTTTTTTTTTTTTATTTATACTTGTTGAATGTTCTCAAAGTTCATGGAGTTCAAGAGGCCTTCGAGCAGGAAATCATGCAGTATAAACTGAAACAGAGTTCTTGGAACAAAGTGAAGACGGCTCATCGGAAGATCTTCCCAACTTACTAGTGAAGATTCATAGAGAAGAAAGCCTGGGATGTGACCATCAGAATCTTCCAGAATATCAATAGGAAGGATCTCAGTGAGAGGGCAGCAGGAGAGATTGCTGGTGAGTAGGGTCAAGCTTCTTTACCGTGACGTTTGTGTCATAGTTTTGATACCTCTTGTTCATTCCCAACTTTCATAGGACAGGCAGGTGTGGGGAATATTATTCTACTTGAAGAAGGAGGCAGACTGGGATAGATATGTTAGCTCTGATCTGTGAAGTCAAATGCATGAAGGTTTCATGCCCAAACCTACCTAGATTGTTAAACTTCTACCTAGGACATCAGTCATTTTACCCTTGTATCAAAAATGAAGACTTAACTCTAGAGTGAAGTGGTAACTCTGGATTTGGTCAGGCAGCATCAGAAAACACATGGGGGTGCAGGAAGTTGGCACTGTCTGTGTAAACCTGAAAATCTGACTTCAGAAACCACATAAAATCCAGGCATCAGAGCAAGTTGGCCCTTCAGCATGGCAAGGTGTAAGGTAGCTGAAGAGAAACCTGTCTCAAAAAATGACATGGAGGAGGGGCTGGAGGGATACCTCAATGCTTTTAAGGACACCTGCTACTCAATCAGAAGACCTTTGTCAGTTTCCAGAACCTACTTGGTGGTTCACAAGCAGCACATAACCCAAGTGTCAGGGAATCTAGTGCCCTCTTCTGTCTCCTAAGGGCACTGCACTTATGTGATACACATACATATGCAGACAAAAGCACCCATATACATCTTTCTTTTCTTTTTTTTTTTTTTTTCACAGTCACTTCAGGTTTTTATTTTGCATTTCATTTATGATCCAGTTTCACATTCTCACAGGGTCAGCAATTACAATAGCCACCTCCAGACATCACCCACGGTCCGAAGCAGCCAAACATCCGAGCTGAGGTTAAAGGTAAAGCACGGACATGCTTGTAAAATAAAACAAAATTGCACAATTCATCCTTCATCTCATTCTTCTTAAACCAATGCCCAACACAAAGGCCGATAGCCAAGGAACGGAAACACCTTTCTTCTTCATGCTTCAAACTAAACATTAAACTTATCCGACAGGCTGAACAAGGTCTCTTCAATAATTAATGGTAAACACATGAAAAACCCTTTATGATCCATAAATATTTTGTTACATAGGGTACAAAAATACTTTTCAGGTTTTGGCTGGTTTCAAAGTTCAGAAGAATGAAGAGCAGTGGCAGGGTGGGGTGCACCAGGGCAGGCAAGCACAGGGAAGGCTTCTTAGGCTTGTCAGCCCTCTGGAGAAGGAGACAATGCAGTACTCTGATTGGAGGTGAAAGTCAGAGGCTATGGATCTGCTGCAAGACCAGGATGAGTCTGTAAGAGAAAGTGTGTGTGTGTGTGTGTGTGTGTGTGTGCCTGCGTGCGCGCTGGGGGGGGGAGGGCCTTCTGGTCAGAAGTGACTGCAAGGCTCAGGCCTCCCTGAAGTAGGGTGAGTGCAGGAGTCAGGAGTAATAAAGACAGACTAGCCTTGACAAGCCTCCAGTGCCAAGACCTGTTGCTATGGCAACAGTGTGGGAACAAACCGTACAAGTTTAAGTGTCACAATTCATAAACATGCAAAATTAAATGTCCCTTTTCCTTGATGGGGGAACTACTGAAGTAAGTTTGAGCAGGTCAGGCTGTGCTGGGTTCCCAATGAGGCCGGCAACCTGGGTCTAGGTGTCCCAGTAAGAAGCCTCCCAATCCTCCTGGAGGCCTTGGAGAACTGAGGAGGAAGGAAACAAGAGCCGACTACTGAGTCAGGCTTCAGATTCACAGTGTCGAGAGGAAGCAGCAGTCTGCATAGCCCTCAGGTGGCAGTAGGGCACCAACTCCAGAGTGACAAGACTGAGGAGCTAACAGAACTGGCGATACTTCCATCCTTGCTGAGTGGTATCAGAAGAGGGATACCAACGCACCTGAGCATGTAGGGTGGCGGCGGCAGCAGTGGCAGCTGGGTAGGTGAGCGTAGTATGTGAAATGGCTGGCGTCAGCTCTGTGGTGTAGAGAGGGTAAGGGGCCCAGGCCTCTGGGGACGCAGGAATCAGAGCAGTCCCCATCAGATCATAAGGGTCTCGTGCAATCAAATGTGCTCCTAGGGCAGGGTGGACATTGGTGGGATTTGGTGTTGCTATTAGCTTGCTCTTGGCCATCTTGGTGTTGGCTTTGGCAAACTCTAGCCTCAGGGTTTGGGGGTTCTCAGGATCAAAGCGAATACCATTCAATGCGTTTTTGGCTGCTTCTGCTCCTGCCCGGCTGTCAAAGATCACAAAACCAACAGGCTGTCTTGAAGTGAGCTTGATCAGGGACCCTTCATAGCCCTTGAACGGCCGGAAAAGCAGATACAGTTCTCTAGGTTTAATATCCACAGGGAGACCACTGACAAATAGTGTCCGGACCTCCTCCTCCAGCGGGCCGCCGGGGCCCGAGCCGGTGCCCGCGCCGGTGCAGTGCTCGACGTCCGGCTTCACGTTGCTCATGGTGAGGGGGGGACGCGGAGACGGGAGCGGGACGCCCGGCCCCGAGGTGAGCAGGGGCGCGGCGACCGGAGCGCCCCCGAGGGGAGTGCGGGTTCGTGAGCTGACGGGCGGCGGCCGCGTCAAGCTAGGGAGAGAGGGAGGGGGGCCACATTAAGTTTGGCAGGTGCTGGAGGCGGCCGAAGGAGGGGAGGCACCGGGGACGCGAGCGAAACCATATACATCTTTCTTTTCTTTCCTTTCTTCTTTCCTTCCTTCTTTCTTTCTTTCCTTCCTTCCTTCCTTCCTTCCTTCCATCCATCCTTCCTTCCTTCCTTCCTTCCTTCCTTCCTTCCTTCCTTCCTTCCTTCCTTCCTTCCTTCCTTCCTTCCTTCCTTCCTTCCTTCCTTCTTTCTTTCTTTCTTTCTTTCTTTCTTTCTTTCTTTCTTTCTTTCTTTGTTATAAGCGCAGGGCACCTAAAAAGACACCTAGCATTGGCCTCTGGTCTCAACATGCATGGGTACTGTGCCCCTTCCCCAACTCCTACACCTACATACCTTTCATGTATGTATTTGAATCAACTGTTTTCTGGTGTGAAACAAGATTCTCCCTTTTTTTTTGTCGTGGCTGGGTCTGTTTTGTTCTTTAACAAGCACAAGTGAAAATGGTAAAGCCATCTTTCATTAACAGCATGGTCTTAAGAGTCATATGATTATTTATCCTGGTATAAGATGTCATGGATGCAATTCATGATAATGGTAGGTCTGGTGCTATGAAAAGTTTCTCATGCCTCAGTTTTTTGTTTGTTGTTTTAAAAAAAATGTCTCTGTGCTGTTCTTTCTACTCTGCCTTTCTCTAGAACTACAGATATATATATATATATATATATATATATATATATATATATATATCTTTGATTTAAGTTTAAAGTATATGAGAACAAGAACAATTAGATTCTGCCTTAGATGAATGTGAGAGTACTTGCATGCACTTCTGTGTACTATGTGTGTATATTTCCCTTGGAGCAGGCAGAGGGTGTTTAGATATTCTGGTACTCGACAGTGGTATGGATGATTCCTGAACTGAACCCAGGTCTTCTGGGTGCTTGTAACCACTGAGCCGTATCTTAATCCCCATGTGTTATGACATCATACCATGTCTCATGTATATCTTTATATCCTTTTTGTTGTTTATGCTTTAGGTTCAATTTTGTTTTCAACTATCCTTATTCCCTGTTCAGCTACTTTTATTTTGTGGTTTTGGATCCTGCCTAGACTCTCTTGTTAGACCAGATTAGCGTGAAATTCACAGAGATCTATCTGCCTCTGCCTATCTATTTCTGGGACTAAAAGGGCATACCTCCTGGCTTCCGTTCAGATACTTCTAATCAATAACAAATTCACCTATTAACTTCTTTTGAGTTTTTTATGTTATTATTTGTGTGTGTACACACATTTGCATAACATGGTGCACAAATGGAGCTGAGAAGACAACTTTGATAGTTCTGCTTCTGTCATTTGAGTTTTGGGGACCAAACTCAGGTCATCAGACTCCTTGTCAAATGTATTCACAACCTATGCCATCTCACCAGCCCCTATCTGTTGGTTCTTAAATTTAGTTAAGACATTTTACATATGCAGTTTTACTTGGTTTTCCTCTGTCTCCAATGTTTACCCAACCTGCCTTTTATTTATATGGAACACCTTTTAAAAATTGTTAAACTTAGCATACAAAATGAGTTTTTTTATAAAATTGTGTGTGTGTGTGTGTGTGTGTGTGTGTGTGTGTGTGTGTGTGACTTGCTTTTCTACCGTATTCACCCACCGTGACTCTCCTGTGTTTCTTTCCATCTAGTTCCCTCTTGTTCCCCTAAATAGACTCCTTTTTCTTTCATGCCATATATGTGGGAAGTTGTATATATAGACCATTTTTACAGTATTTTTAAAAATTACAAGTATGTGTGTGTGTGTGTCTGTATGTGGGATTACATATATGAGTGCATTTCCTGCAGAGGCCAGAAAAAGAACTATTAGAAGCTATGTCCCAATTTGGTTTAACAGATATATGTAGGGAGCCTAACTACTAGTATTCCAGAGCCTCTACCTTGAAAAAAGCTTTTGGAGGGCAAGTTCAGTTGTAATGAACATTTGCTTCCTGCAAGATCTATGAGGCTACAGAAACCCTGTCATATTTTGAGAGGTTGCAATTACATAGAAACATACACAGTCTTTCTCAAGGTCATAGTACCACAGACAGTCCCAAATAAGATATTTTGTAGGGATGGTGGAGACCCTTGAGATTCTAGAGTTCTGGAATTCACATGGCCATTCATGTGAACAAACAAACTAAAAATGTTGCATACTACACTCCAATTGTGAGTGAAGATGGTGCACTAAGCTCAACAAAGTCCCTGGTACAGTTTTCTCAATGTAGCTGGGGCCACTCACTCTTTCCTGGTTGTTTCTACAGTCCAATAGGGACAGAAAAGCTTACTCATGCATCGACTTTATGTTATGCAGATGTGTAGATTGCTGAGTGCACAGGCCCAAGGTTGGCTAAGACTGACTCAACTCCATATGGAAATGTGTGGATTGCTGAATGCACAGCTAGGAAAGGCTGACTTTCACCTCTGCCTAATTAAGAAGATAATTGCAATTTGGCTTGAGGTTCTCACTCAAGAAGAGATTTTGACTCATGCCAGATAAGGCAAGATCCAACCAATACTTTAGAAACTTGTGAAAATCCAGCCTAGGGTATGCACATTTGGATTTTCAGCATTTCTTTGGTGAGGTGCCAGGATCTCAAGTGAGGCCTATTCAGGCTGTAAAGCCATATGATGATACAAATAAACAATAAAAGTAAATAAACTAATGAGATGACATATATGAGAACTTTTCCACGCAATATTATTGGAGTTCCCTTTTGAAACCCTTCATATATGACCCGTGTGTTTACACATGTCTATGATCTGTGTGCATTTTTCAGAATGTGCATATTTGTGTGGGCAAAGATGAACAGATGCTTCAGCACATCTGCAGATGTGAGCAGACTGCCTGGAGTACTGGCCTTCCCTGGCCCTTTTAGTCCAGTAGAATTTCCCTGTGCTCCATGTCTTCTCCTGTCTCCCTGTCCCATGTCACCTGAAGAGAACTTTGAATGTAGCCATGGCCAACCATACCCAGGTGTTGGGTGCTTTCTGGAGATCCCGTCCCAGGTTCTGACACTGTCACTGCTAGTACTTCAGTCAGTGTCATTATCTCCGTGATCTACTTGAGAATTTCCTACCAAGGTCTAACTAATGCTGAAAACATAATCTCATACAACCAAATGTCTCTCTCCTTCACATCTCTCCGTTATGTCATTATATTAACTGAGAGTTTTACTTTTAGAAAGTAACACTGCACAGCACATTCCTTACTATGGGATATGATTAATTATTTTCCCAATGTGCTTCCTCTAATCTCTACAGAGCTCTGAAAAGATGAGGATCCGTATGTAACAAGTTTTGAAGAAACTGATGTGGCTTAAACTAAGTTAAAGGCCTCTTTTACAGGAAGTCAAGGTGGCAGGAAGGAAAGAGAAACACCAGTCACACAAGGTTCTGTCACTACAGCAAAGTGGATCCAGGCAAGACAAAGAAAGGGGAAATGGAAAAGAGGATGAAGCTTTCTCTGTGCTTCTCAGTGCTCCAGACTTCAGATACCTGTTCAACAGACCACCTTACTTGACTTGTGACTTGTACTCACAAATGTGTGTAGCTGACCCAGATGCAATAGGGTCCATTTAAAAATAAGTCTTTAAACCTGTGGTGACTTACCTGGGCTTTCTACCGTCTTAACCTTTCTATCATGTTTGTCTGATGATGTGTTCGTTTTGATGTCTTTGAAGGCTTCTTGTGGACCACACACCACTGCTGTTTTAATAACAAAGCTTTCTTCTGAAGATACTTCAGCACTTTTAAATGCCAATTAGAGATTGGGGACCACCTCCCCACTTGTGTCTTCATCAACTCCATCCACCGTCCTATCCAGAAGAGCACTCCATTTGACAAAGTCTGAGGAGTTTTGATGGTATTCCTTACATCTTCATAGAAGGCCTTGTTTTCTGCCTCTTCTTCCTCTCTCTCTCTCTCTCTTCCTATAGAAAGAGAAATGGGATGAGTGTAATACTTCAAAACTGAGAAGAATAGACTTGCCAGAAAAGAGATGAACAACCTGCAGTTGTGTCCAAGTCTGACATCTCATCATGGAGTCTATTCCCCTTCATAACCCTGGTACTATGAAAAACAACCATGACTCCCTTACTCAGTTACTGCATAGCTGTTTTAAGTGACAATTCTGTCTCAATGTTCTGAGTACCCTAATGCACCTTGGGTGTTTGTATGATTGTGCACATCCATGTGCTTGTGTGTGTGTGTCTGTGTGTTGACTTGTGTAGGTACAAGCCCATGTTTTTGCAAGTATGTGTAGAGCTAGAGTGTATCTCTTCAATCAAAACCTCCACTGGAACAGGAAAACACAGTCCCAGGTCACAGGTTGACTAAGTGATACAAAAACATTCTGTCTTCATGCTCACTTGTTGATGACCTTATCTGGCAGGTATTTTGCATAATCCTTGCTATACTGTTTCAGCAGTTTGCTATATTTATTGTCTATTTATTGTCTGCAACACAAAAACAAAATGGAGAATGAGAATAGTCCTAATGTCAACAAAGGGGGAAAGAAAACAAGTTGGGAGAGACATTAGAATCTTCTTTTAATTTAATATATTTTTTCTTCTTTTACACATCAGTCCTATTTCCCTTTCGCTCTGATCCTCCATTCCTCCCAGAGACTCCCTCATTTCAACCATTTCAATCCCCAGACAGGGTGAGGCCTTCCATGAGGGTTCATCAAGTTCTGTCAAGTCATTTGAGTGAGGTAGGGCCTAGGCCCTCCCCCATGGATCTGTGCTAAAGGATTATCCCCACCATGGGGAATGTGCTCTCAAAGTACTTTCCTGCAGTAGGGATACATCCTGGTTCTGTGAGATGTCAGTTTCTTATGTATGACTTGAGCTCTATTCACTGCCAATCCTTTCTTCTGTACTGTGATGCTAAGCTTGCATCACCTCCCCTCCCAACAAGGTTCAAGTTCTGTG